GGAGTTTTAATGAAAATCTCAATTAGTTTTGATCAAAACTAATTGGATGTAGGCTAACTTGGTACGTAATGGACTAAATGGAAATGGAACATTAAAATGTCATTGCTTTCTACTTTCTGTAAATTTTGGGTAGTAGATGCAACAATGCATCTAGGGTGTAACGAAAAGTCAAAAGAGTGTCTCTGTTTTAACATAGATAAGATTGCGTACATCTTGATCCCTAGACTCCAATGGAGTTAGGATTGTAGTGGGTTGTTGTTGTTGTTGTTGTTTCACCTACCTGGAGTTTATTATTTAACAGACCAAACAATTGTGGTTATTACATGCATGTAAATCCCGTTGTTTATCTGGATTGCTTTTGTTACAGGTTGAGGAAGTAGCAGCTGGAAGAGAGCTGAAGGGAATGAGACATTCTAGCGAACCAGACTACTATTACGAAGATTACCTGTATATGATTTAATCTTGGAACAGGTTTGCAGTAGAGAACAAGCTGGCTGTATTATTTATTTTTTGGATATAAATGGTGGCCCTTGTATGATTCAATGGCAAACCGTAGAAAATCTGAAGTCTGAACTCTTCCCCATGTGATATTATATATAAATATAATCACTCAAAGAACTTCAACTATGTATGTATCTTCTGAATTGCAACTCCTGCAAATTCTGAAAACAGTTTTTGCCATTGAACCATTAGTTTTGATTCCATACCTGTGGCGTCTCTTGCTCCAATTAACAATGAAATTCAGCTAGGAATCTAGCATAATGTTTTCAATTTACAGTAAAGCCTTTTTGTAGGTAATACTCCCAGAAAATTGGCTATTTTCACTCAAATAAACTCTTCTTTTACATATTTGTATATTTTCTTCAGTACATTGCCTTGTTTCTCACAATTTGTTTTTTATCTTTGCCTAAAACATTTCCAACAGAATGTCGATTGTTCGCCGGATATATTCACGTATTTGTCCGAAACCTGCCACTGCATTTCTTTACCTTTCATCTTCATCCAGGGATGAAGAAGGGGAACGTTGTGCAGGGCGAGAGAATGTGAGTTCTTCTTGTTTTGATACTTTTTATTAATTGAATGTGTTTGTAATATTTATATTTGTAGAATTTGGGGTTTACAGGTTCCGGGCATGTCAAGGATTCATTCTACGTTGCAGAAATTGGTTTTGGGGGGTGAAGAGAAAGTGCCAGATGCATGTTTGGATCTCATAAGAAAAAAGAGCAAGTTTACGAAGATTAAGAAAAAGGGAAAGGTTATGAAGAAGAAGCACAGTCCCGACCGACCTGATGTGAAATGGAGGGTCCTTTATCCCCACGAGAAGATTGATCGCGTCGGCGATACTGTACAATTTTTTATGGGAGCTCTGGATATCTACCGCGTACCTGATTTTTTACTAACTTTTCTATTTTAGGAATTTATTAAATAAAATTATATTTATCTTCCCCTTTGTATTTATTGCTTGATGCGATTCAAACTGAATAGCAACGCTTTGGAGTTATGATGCATCAAACAAGTAGAGGGAGGCCACGAGACATCATCTCAGCAATGATATATAGGACTGGGTAGGTATAATAAGTATAATAATAGTATGCAATATGCAAATTGCAAACTGTATTTACTTTTCAGTTTTTTCTCACATAGCTATTTTAACAATTTGTTTTGACAAAGATAAATTTATTGGGATCGACTTGAGTGGCATGCACTGTGCCATATTGCTCATTGAGTAAGTTATGACAATGAAGTAGTGAATTTGTCATTTGTAACAACAAATATTTAGTTCTTTTGCTTATTATGTGTTTCTTGATGTTGTTACGTAGCAAGAGGGTCGTCTCTTCCGTCATATTTAGGGTAGTAGGCACAGACTTGGCGGAGGTTCCTTTGGCTGCAACAAGTGCGCAAGCTGAAGGACAGGTACTTTTACAGTGTGTGCATATTAGAACACTTTACATTCATTATTTAATTTATGTTGTTGATATGCAGGGATATTTTCAGGCGCTTTTTTGTTGTTTGAAGAAGCTATTAGGGTCCCTTGCAGTGAAGAATGTGGTTGTTTCTGCCTTGAAAGAAGCTGAGCCGATGTGGATTAAAAAGTTTGGCTTCAAAAAGT